TTTGGCATTGGTTCCTGGGGTGGGGGGAGGACTACATGAGCCCTGAGGGGGACAGGGGCTGATGGAGAGCTCTGGAGAACAGCGTAATGTGATCCTTCATCTATTTGCATGGGGATGGGGTGGTCAGTGTTGCCCCTCTGGGGGCTTTGCTGAGCAGAGAGGCTTAGGCACCAGGCTTTGGGGCCAAACCTGCTCTGAATACCTAGATGGAACCTAGTAACAGATTGTCTCATCCCATATTGCAGATGGAGTTGGATGATGGCCCAGCCCCTGCTGGGCAGGACCTGGAATTGGACAGCGAGTTTGAAGGCGAAGGCGACTATGAGGAAGGTTTTTTTGCAGAGTGGTGGCAGGAGCCCAAGACCAAAGGGGACAAAGCAGACCAAGGTTACTGACCCTGGGCAGCTATTACTTCGGGGGCTGGTGATGCTGGGAGCTAGGTGGGGAGGGGCCACTTTATTGGATCCCATGCTCCATGAGATTAGGTGAAATGGCCCTTGGAGTCAGGAGCAAGGAGGAAACTGTGAATGGCCGGCATGTGATGCCTGCTGGCTGCAGAAACGTCTCCCAGTCGGAGGGTGTGAGGATGAGCCGGGACACACTGTGAGCCTGAGCTTCCTGCCTTTGTGGCTGGCACTCCGCATGTTCCTTGCACTCCCTGCTCCCCTCTGTTTCACCCTCTATTCTGGAGGTGATGATCCAGCACCCAGATGCTTCTGTTCTCCAGACTCTCCACCAAGGCCACGGGATCCATGAGTCGCTGGCGATTGGGCTTGATGCATGTGCTGAACACTAGCTGAGGGGCACCAGAGAGGCTTCTGCCTTCATCCCACTGTCATTCCTGTACTGCCACTGGTGTTGCTGATGTGCCCCAGGCAGAGTTACTGGGAACCGACTGTTCTTGCTGGCTGCTGCCTGGGAACCCCCCTGGGAAGACTGCCCAGGACTGTACCTAACAGCCTGTGTTTTTTTGTTTGCAGAAGAGACCCGATGAGTCACATGCGTGGGGTCCAACAGCAGCTGCAGCCGGGGGCTGTGCCCTTCTGCCCCATTACCCCATCAGCATGGGGCAAAGGAGTTGGATGGGGATGGCCACAGCTGACCTTGTCCTCAGGGCTTACCAGGGAGCATGACTTTGAGCTCCCACAAACTTTGTGGGGCTCAGACTCAGACCCACCTGGGAGGGGCTGGTCCTTTCCAGTGCCCCAGCCTATAGAGAGCCTTCTGTCTTTCTCTCTGGGGCTGAAGCCTTCGTAAACAATTAACAGAGCTCTGAGGCGCTGGCACCCCAAGCCAGTCACAAGTGCATGCTCATCCTATGAGCCATCACTCTGCAGTGCTTAAATATCCTACCCCTACCCCCAGACTAATGTACAACTTTAGAGACCCCCCTTTTGCACATCTGGTTGCCTTCCCCACTGGGTAGTGAGGCCCCTTGAGGATGTGGAGGCATAATTCAAATCATTCCCTCCTGTCACATGAGGAACATGGGCTCCCAGAACTATTCCTCGTGGCTTCCTCCTCGGGTCTCCAGAGAAGGAAATTCCTCCCAGTCTACAGCCAGATATGGGGAGCTGCCTTAGAGCCTTACGGCTTGTCTCAGGTACCTCTATTACAGCCACATCAGAATATGCTCCTAAAACCTGCAAGGCCAAGGCTGGAGGTTTTGCTGAGAGAAGGAGGAGCAGGATCTTGCAAAGCTGAGGGAACCAGCTCTCCAGTTTGGTTTTAAATTATCTTGATGCATTTTGGGAGGATGGGAGTATTTCTTGTGACAGTAAGAGACAGATGAGAGCAAGGCACAATGTGGGTAGGGGCTGGGCAAACACCCTACCATGCTCACAGCCAAACCCTTTCATCTCAGTCCTGGTCCCTTGTTATTCTAGCCCTGGGCTGTCCCCATGGTTCTGCCAATACCCCTCTATCCCAACTTGGAGCCCTCTCTGCCAGCTTC